CAGTCATATGTCATTTTTTCCGCTGAGTCATATTTCCTACGAGTTCCAGGACTGGCACCCGATGAGTATTGGTAGGCTTGGAGACGGGTGAACTATGGGTAATCGTGCAATATTTGTTTTTAGAAAAGTTTTAACAATATACCGAAAAGCGAGTTTTACGCTAATTAGAGTTTTCAGGCTGTCACCAATTCTTTGCTGAGTAAAATAACTAACGTTAGATATGATGTTTTTTAAAGTTTTTCTCTGTCAGTAGGAAGAGAATTTTATAGTGTACATGAAAAGTTTCAAATATCGATCATCTAATTGCTAATTTAGGCTGTGACTTAATGATTCTACTAATTTGACTACACAAAACCACGTTTAAAATACTCTAGCTCTATTATATGACCATTATTTGTTGAAAATACTCTTTTTTCCGTAATTTTCATATATTTATTTGTACGTATTGTGCAGTGGCGTTCGGAATTCAAAACTCATAGGGTGAATATCATCCTCTTTGGTGGTGTTTAATGTATTTTTATTCAGGAATCTGGAGTAAAAACACCTTCGAATGCATTATTTAGTCCGAAAACGGATGGAATCAAGTCTTCGAAAAGCCTGGAATATGTGGAAAGACGGTTATCCCAGCCTGCTGCTAATTCGTGTTAGAAAATCCTAAGGGATTAAAACAAAGGCTTTTAATGCATTGAAAGTAGTGCAATGTAATTATGACCGCTGTAGCACCGGTTAGACGAGTTTTATAACGCTTGTGAAGAGAAAAGTTTTCTCGTGCTTTTGCACACGCTTTACTCTGCAATTTAGGTGAAAAATTCAGTAACTGCATCAAGTCTTCACGTTTATTGTATACCGAAAACCTTAGAACTAATTCTGTCTTCACTTTGCATAAAAACTGGAATGGGATTCAAAAAAAGATTTGTTTATCGTGATTTTAAGCGCCACTTGCAGCGTAGTTCGCGCCCAAAATTGACGTTAGCTTTTTCACTTCTTTTTCTCCCTTTCTGATTTACTTAGTGATCGTAAAATCGTTTCTATGTCATAAAAGAGACTAATTTATCATATTAATATCTACAATTTGCCTCAGTCAGTTCGACATTTTTGATTTGCTCGTTTGAAGGACCGTGTTCCCAATTAAATGAAATTTGTTTCAATTTGTTCAAATGACTCATTGTATTTCAGAACAAGATAAAACACGCCAAAACGTGAAGCACAACAGAAAAAAGTAGTAAGAACACTATTGTTTTGCTAACTGTATGACTGCGAGGATGTCACAGGCTTCGCCTTCTACAGGGTCATTACACAAGCTCGAACTGACAATCACAGTAAAACATTGTACGACTTCTCGACTGCAGCTTAACTTATACATCTTATGCTTCGGCTACTCATTTTTACTTTATATGTTCACAACAAGTACAATATTTCGTGAAAGTGTGATTTCTATAGGATTATTTACTGTTTTCAATCAATTCTAGACAAATAGAGATAAATCCTTCCTTTCCTTATACACACGATGACGAGGTCAAAGGAAAATGCAAAACCAATTGAAAAAATAAACCTCGCGTAAGACTCCACGTGTTCTTTTTTTCTTTCTCAATATACTACAGATGTGTCTCATGTTGTTTGACAGAATAAGTCAAAATAAAAAGGGCAAACTTTTCTCGCGTACTTTAAGCAACAATCATCATATTAGTATAGTATTTCGTGTAGAAATGTATGAAGGTATACGTTTAAAAGAACCCAATGTATTTCACTGTTCTACCATAAGTCCAAACATAGTAGCGTTTGCAACTCTATTAAACTTAAGATTTCAAAAAACGTACTATAGCTTAGTTTGTCGCTCTTTCAATTCTGCATGTTTCTATACACAAACCCTTCCTAATTTCTATTTGTGAAAGAAATTGTAATCATTTTTATAAACTAGCATGGGTAGAAACCGAGGATTTAGCCCATAAATCAATGAGAACAAACTTTTAAAACAAAATATTGTAGTTCATTTTGAAGCCCGGAAAATTCTGTCTTTCTGTATATAAAATATTCCAATTCTGAGCAGATGTGGAAAAAATGTTCCTCTAAAGCCTTAAGATAGGTCAAAACATGATATCTGCCGAGTATTTGGGCAATTGTCCTATATGGACATATGTGTGGGAAAATTATTTTTAGCTCATTTTGAAGCTGGGAAAATTCTCTATCTTTCTATGTATGAGCATTGGTTAAGGTCTTTTAAATCGTACAAAAAATTTCAGGACCAAGATGAATGGCCTTCGTTGAACTGTACGAAGCTTTCTCAGCGTTGAATTTTTTTCTTATTAATGCATGCGATCTCAAAGAATCAAATCGTGTTGCTAGATAGAGTTAAGTATCAGACAATTTTTGATAAAGTTTAGAAGTAGTACTGTATTTCTTTGACCAACTGTAGAAGTTTTAGTGAGGGATAGGAAAAGTGAAAATTCAAATTTTACTCGAAAAATATTTTTTCTCAAACAACAACCATGTTCTTTTAATTCTCTTATCGCCAGTTTCTAGAGCGTCTTCCACTGTACAAAATCCGGTATAAACAATAGCTTCACTATACATCCTTACTGAGTTAATAAACTTTTTTCATCTCATGTTACTCAATGGTCAAACTTAGCAAAAAATTATTTTTCGAAAAACGATTATACTTTCAAGTCAATACTTATATATGGTTGGATGCACAATAAAATTCTCTATGGAACCTGCTATTCAGCGTTTTGATATTTTAAAATTTTAAAATCCTCCTTATGTCAGACTATCAAAGATGTATTCTATTTTATCTGCTCAATTCGATTTTTTACTTAAGAATAGTAAAAAATATCCTTGCAGTTCCGAAGATTTTTAGAAAACTTTTTTAAAACCCAAAATATTTTCTGTTGGTTTTTATAGCTTTTGTTGAACTCCATAGCATTGAGCAGGTAAAATAGAGTATATATTGATAGTCTGATATAATTTGGATGGATTTTGACTGAATCATGAATATTTTAATTTTACACAGTTTAGGCAAAAATGGATTATTTTCACCTCAAATAGGTTTTCACTAAGTTTTTGAAGCTATTTTGAAAAATAAATATTGTCACAAAATTCAGCGTAGTTAATTACCTATGTCGCCATTCGTTTTCGGATTACCACATTGGAAGAAATATTGATCCTGGGAGTCTCAGGAACACCGATGCCACACCTGAACTAGGAAAAATTAAGAGTTCGCTTCGTTCTCATTTTAGAGAAGACACTTTGGACTATATACCTATGAAAAAATTAAAAATACATCTTGTTGATGAGTTTTGGGATCCACTGTAATAATCGCCTACGAATTTTCTAAGAAACTCCTTAAAAATCTTCGAGATTCAATAATATTTTTATATATTTGTAAAGTAGACATTTCAGGCTACATCCTCGTATATCTATCTCAAAAATCGACTTTCTGGAGGGGGCGGTCTTACTTTTCATTACCGAAATTCATTACGTTCATGGTGAGTAGCCTCATAGAGGGACAATGTTCAGAACGCTGCTTTTCAAAACTTCATCATGGTCAGTCAATCAGCAGCAACAATGATGAAAATTTCCACTCATCATCAATAATTACAGCATCGAGTGTACGAGTAGAAGGCCGATTGAAAAGACGTTTACATCATTCTTTGCAGTGATTTTTTGACTGAATGCGTAAAAGCCTGGATGACGAAGAGCATGTGAACTAAAAATATGTGGAAACGAATAATTTCCACTTGAAAACAGTTTTTCGTTAGATTCTCGAAATAAGACTTTGGATTAAAAAGTGAATACCAGATTCGGACTCGACGTGAAAAGACGAATTAGAATATCTATATCGTTTCTCTCCAAACTAACCCGATTGAAAATGCTCGATTTGCTATGAAGAACATCATTTGTTCTAAAAATTTACTCATACAGAAAACGCGAGACCTACAAAATGAAAAAATCATAATTTGAATTGAATTTTTATACTCGATTCCTAGACATGTATTCAAAAGAATCATTGTTTCAAAATGTTTGGAAATGTGAATAATAAATGTCTTCTTATCTATTGTACTTGTGTATGATATTTTTCAATCAAAACATTAAGTACAATAAATAAAATTTCAATGTACATGTAATATTCCTTCTACAAGCTACTTCTACAAGCTAAATTGCTTGATGTTTTTATATCCAATTCAATAATTTTCTTTGAAATCAACTCTAAACGGTACGTGCCAATAATAATACGAAGGATCACTAGTTTTGTGTGTACTTTACCTCTTTATGAATGTTCTTTAATTGATAAGCAATCGTCATATTTATTCTTTGCTGTGACTCATTTTCTTGTTCTTTTCATGACAACATAAAAAATTCCCTTTAGTTTACCAGTGAGGGCGTAATTGCACGTGGATTATTAATGCAGCAAATTATTATCAGCAGGTAAATGACCAAGTTCTAATTCGTCATTCTTGTTTGTTCTTTCTTCATTCGACACAATCAGTAACAGCGTGAATAAAGGTAGAATTCCAGGATAGTGTCTGCGCAATAAAAGTAGACGCACAAACATGGACAGTACAGCTAGATTGTTTACGAAAAAGAAACAGTAAAATACAAAATATAGTTATCATTTAATTTTAAAATATTTATCCAAAATGGTAAAACAGAATCAACGTAATCATTTTATTACCTCTACATTAGAAACTGAACCATGTAGTTGTCAATCCTGTAATGTTAGAAACAATAAAGAACAGGTATAGTATATATGTTGTTACTTCAATAAATTCAACTCAGACGACATATAAAAAAACTTTTTGTATTTGACACCATAGTTTTAAAACGACCTTATTTTATATTTAATCATAGTATCGACTGAAACGCTCGAAACCATGGCAAGATAAAAATGAAGAAGATAATGTTCAACAATTATTGGAATCATACACACCTATAGGTGATGATTGTGAAACAGAGAAACACTTAGTGTTACAAAAAAATATCCGATGTGTATTAGCAGACTGGGGATGTTCGGATCAGGTATGCTTAATAAATTGCAATATGTAACGTGTGGTGCAAAAATAATTGCACTGCTAGTATTTTCAAAATTTCTCCGCCTCTTTACACTCGATTGAGCTAGTTTTTTATCAAAAGATTCCATTTTGAGTACTCTGCAAAAAATGTATTGACTGTTTTACTGTAAAACTGGAAGGTGCAAAATGTCATGAGAAATTTTGAGAAGTACCAAAATGTAGAAAAACTAAATGTATTTTCTCAATTTTTTCCAATTAAAACACAGTTCTAGTATATTTTTGTGTAGGTTCAAATACGCTCTTTCTCGTCGCGCAGAGCGAAAATCATTTGAATTTAAATATCCGACACAAAGATAAACTTCTCAGCACCAAGCGAAAAAAAAACAGTTATTACCTTCTGCTTTGCGTGGTGGAACAAAAGAATCTTTTTTCCGAATTCTAGAGATCCAATCATAAAGACTAATCATTTATTTTCAAAATTAAATAAAGTCAACCTGAGTGGGTCAAATTTGACTAATCTTGATTTGTTTTATTGCAAGGCTCAAATTATTGGTAAAAAGTCGTCATTTTTTGAAAAATTGGCAAAAAATAATGAAATTTTTGCGCC